CGGGTACGGATGGCAAAATGACAGCGGTATATCCACACGCCTGTTTGTGATCATCTCACGCAACCTTTTGTCTTCTGCCAAAGTAACTTTTTCACGTTTAATGGCAGAACAGACCGAAGGAACGCCAATGGGATACCCGATTTCCAGTCTCATCGCACAACTGGTTTGACAACAACGACCTGGCACGTATACTTGCTTCCATCTTAGTATATATTTTTCCCCACCGTTGAGCTCTTGCAATATTAAGTACCCAAATGTAAAGAAGTATGCTGAAAAGTGCTCCAGTATGCACAGAAAAGCAAGTTCTTTCATTTTTAGCATTCAATAAAAATCGGTAACGCTTTGTCGTTTTGACCTCAGACAGTGAGTTGCACACGGACGACGAGGAGACCGTCAGTCTGCCCCCTATTGCCGGGGCTTTGCCGCACAGTGGGGACATTCAGCGACAACAGCCACTTGAGACAGCAACTACGGGTTTTGTACACAATAAACACCCCTCTGGGTGGATTCCAAAGTTACGCCGTTCTTATTGGGTTCTTCCTTGGAGTTCTAACGGGTTTAATGAGACAGTGACACGACTAAAGTCACCGTCACGATATGTAGAACAACTTAGGTATTTCTCCATTTCGCCACATCTTATTTTGGAGGTTTTGATATGCACGTACAACATTATGCTTATGCCTGGGCCATTGACTGAAACCACTGAAAATCGTAAAGCGCTAACCACCATTTCAAGCAGGAACTGGACCTTGCCTTATCGTAATCAAAATCCCGAAATAATACGAGGGAGGGAAATTTCTCTTAGTGGTTACAAAATGGTACGTTTAGGACTGCACCTGACAACTCAATTTACTATGTTATTCACTGACCGGCATTTCAGCAGGTGAGCTCACAAAATATCTCACTCCTGTGACCTTCGAATGGACGCAGTCAAGCCAAAATCTGGTTGCCCTCATCCACCGTAACTCAAACAACTTATAGACGGAAGGAACCAGTTGCAGTTCTCCTGAAAATATGTTGAAATACATATTCGAACTTTTGGCTTTTCGCCAAAAGCCATACGTTACATTGCGCATGGTCAGGAAGCATCTGAATCCGAAAAGTTTACAAAACGATTATTTTCCAACGGAGCTATAGGTGTGCTCGTTTATTCACTCGTTTTTTTGCATAAACCGGCTTCCCCTAAATTTCAAACATAGGCACACCCGACTTCCACTTTAACGGAATTTTCCGCAGTTCAAGAAATCTGGTATTTCTAAGCAACGTACTATTACTTGGTAAATCGCAATGTGCATGTCCGCTCAAAACAGGGCCGGAGAACGGGCGAAAGAAGTCACGCAGAACCGACAGCGACCCGCCGCGGAGAACGAAGGTGATATCGATCGGGACTCACGTGATCTCCATCTCACGAAAGCGTCCGTCGACAATACTTCGAGCGAAGACCAGCAGTCGATCGGTCCACAGTCTGACAAGGGGGGGGTCGACCACCACGTCAGCCGTAGAGGGGACGCGGGCGAGGCGAGCCCACCATTGGTCGATAGTGAAGAGGCCATAACCAATCAGTGTGTTCCCGAGACTTCACTACCAT